AGACTTGTAAGTGTGTGACCAGGAACAAATGTACCACCATGGATCTCGCAGAATTGGTTGCTATGGTGAGGCCTCATTTGAGATACTGTTCAATACGTTAGCGTAAGATGAAACTTGGATGGTGTGTTGGGTTGGTTGATTCAGACCTAAGTCTACGGCTGATCAGTGTGGTCAGGCAAGAAAGAGGTGACTGTTAATAAAAAGACAGACAGAGAGAAATAGAGACAGAAACTGAGCCCGTCACAGTGGTACAGGCAGTAGGGGAACTGCTGAGTGATGTTGAAGCCTCACGGGAAGGCTCTAGGTTCATACTCGGTCCACCTGAACATGCCAGGTGTGCCCATGATGCTGAGTGACTGCAGGGCTGGGGAAAGGGTTGTGGCTGAAGACCTTATCAAGAGTACTTGTCTCTCACTTTCTCTTGGCAAAACAATCCATTAAAAAAAAAAAAAAACCACCAGGAGGGACCAGCAGTTAGTGTAATGGCTATGTCACTGGACTCCCATGTAGTCGACTGTGGTTCGTGTCCCGGACCCTTGGCTTGAAACTTACGCCAGGCGCGTGTGCGTACATGCCCAAGATCCCGAGAGGAGAATGGAGGAGAAGGGATTGTGGCGTGGCCATCCCCCCTAGGGGGTGATTTCTTGCTTTCTGTCTCTCTGTCTCTTTCTGTCTATCTGGTGAGCACACGTGCCCTATAGCAAAAACATAAAAAAATAAATAAATAAAAAAGAATGGCAGAAATTTGGACTATTTAATGACTCTCAAGTTGCTAAGAGGGCTTTAAGATAACATGGTCCCTGGAGTTGCCTTGAAAACTGAATGATGAATTTCCTGGGTTTCCATAAGATTCCCTTACTACCATGTGTATCCTTATTAAAAAACAAAACATTACTTTAAGATAGTATGTGGTCACAATCTGTTTTGTGGAGTCAGAAAAGCCTCACTAAAAACAGGAAAGGAATCTACATGGAAGTAGAAGTGAAAACTAAAGAATGAGAATAGTATGGGGCCCCTTAGCTATATGTTGTTGTTGGCTAGTCTCCTTTCTGAAAATGTTCTATTTTGATTCTGAAGCATAGTGTTCCCTTCGTTCTTTTATTTCCTAGAATAATTCATAACCTTATGGAACTGAGGAGAAATTAGAACTCACTTAGCACATTAAAAGAGATGAAAAAAATGAAAGACCACAAAAAATTTGCTTTATTTCATTTCCTTCAGCGATTTAAAAAAAACCCAAAAAAACACTGCTTAACTGTGGATGTTCTTGAATAATCTACCATTTCCTTTTCCTAAACTCCTAATTTCAGCCTCCAATTATACATGGATCCACTCTTAAAATTTAATCTTAAGTGATGAATTTTCCTCACTTTATAGTATTAGACCTTCAGTTATCTATGGAATGTGTACTTGTAAGCTCCACCAATACCAGAAACTCAACATGGTGGAAATTGAAATCAATTTCTTTCGTCCCCTCCAAGCTTCTCTATCACTGTTATTAACATTGTCATTTTCCAAAAAACGTTCTTTTCTTGAAATATTTTTAAATTTCAAAATATTTCAATCAACTACAAAGACAACTACCAAGAGTAATATAACCAGTACTCATGTCTCCATCATCTGGACTCCATATTTTGCCATACTTGCTTCAGACTTAAAAAATGACAGGCAGAGTGGCAAGTCCCCCATTCTATCCCAAGCACTCCTTCCTAAGAGGTGGCTGTGCTTCAGAAGTTCCTCCCTGACACAGAGCCTGGAATATACACAGAGCAGGTTTGGGAAGGAGGTACAGGACACAAGTAAGAGAGTGGGCAGGTAGGGTAGGGAAGGTAAGTCATCCCTCTGAACCACTGCAGCTTCCTCCTGCACGGAAGCTCCAGGAAATGTCCTAGAACAGCCATTAGAATTACATTGCTCATTGAATGATGAAACTGAAGCATTATACCCCCATGTTCTTTGTCCATGGAGTGGATGGGCACTTTCAGCCCTTTGCACAAGAGGACAAAGTGGGTTCTGGCAGCCTGAGGGCACCTTTCTGACAAACATATTAGCTGCTGGAAATTAGGCTGCCGTATGCATAAATGGGGATACGGGCAGAGAACTAAGAAGAACATCTTCAGTGTTGATTCATTTCATTAACACTGTTCTATGCTTGCTATAAGAAGCATTATTAATTTTTGTGATATTACAATGATAATCTTATTAATAATGATGATAATTATGAAGGGAAATAGGGACTATAAATATAAATCAGTTAACATAAAAAAGGAAGATGGTTTGGGAAATTCACTTCAGTTCAGAAAGTTATTAATTATTTGTTAAATTTATATCATGTACCTGATGGGTCGCCCTTAATATGAACAGAAAGTAAGGAAAAGAAATAAAACACATACCACAATGATTTTTGCTTGATTGTACACTTCATTAAACTTAGAAAAAATATGATTTTCTCCCTATCATCATCCTACTTTAAGACTGCAGCGTTATTAGGCTTAAACTGTGATTGATAGATAAGATTACAAGTCTTTGCTAAGAAGATTATATAAAATCAAAAATGGCTTAGAATAATAAAATTTTATTCTTAGCTGCCATCTATTGGCCTTTCTATAGAAAAAGAAAAAGGTAGATGTGCTTGTGTGGTGGGGAGATGGATTTGTAGTGGAGATAAATCTCAATACTACAATCAGGGCATTTACAATGATTCAGGAGGCCAGCCTGTGGTGTGGTAGTTAAGGTGGTTGGATCCCACATGGCTGACTGCATGGCTCGTGTCTCAGACAGGGCAGCTTGGGTGTGTCTGTGTGCATGCCCAACATTCCAAAGGGAGGGAGAAATGGAAGAGAAGGGACTATGTGACCATTCCCCATGAGAGGTTCTTTCTCAGTTTCTCCTTCTCTTTCTCTGACTCTGGTGAACAAACACACCCTGTGGCAAAATTAAAAAAGAAAAAATTCAGCAAAACCAGGATAGTTTGCTTTTTTTGAACTTAACCCAAAAGATCCATGATGTAACAAAAATATTAGAAAATGATGTTTCCTCTTCCCTTTTGCAGAGAAAAAAGTCTTTAAAATAATCTCTCATAGATTCAGTATTAGACAAACACAGACTTCACTCTTTAAGAACTTGTAGACACAGAGAAGATATCTGACACATGAAAAGATCCAGTAGGCCGACAGGATCTTTAAGAACTGATGTAAATGATCTCTAGTAAAGTAGACCCCATTAAGTAGGGAAAAAATATCTCATACTGAGATTCAAAGAGCTATCGACCAAATTTCATATTTCAAATAAAAAATGATTACAGAATTTGCAAACCTTATGGATATAGTGAAAAAGAATAAATTTAGATTGGAGATCACAAACCCCACACTGAAATGTATACAAAATATATTAGAAAAAAGAACATCTGAAAGCAGCATAAATTTTACATTTAAAAGAGCATAACATTTTTATAGAGGAATTCTTTACTATTTTTCTGACTCCATATAAAAACAAAACTTACAAACATAAGTAGAGAAATATATTATATGTTATCATGTTTAAGCAGTGAGACGGATAAAGAAGAGAGAAGGATTACATAGAAAATACAGTCCTGGGACTAGCAGATGGTGTGATGGTTATGTTGCTGCATTCCACATAGTTGACTGCAATTTGAGTCCTGAACCTGGTAGCTTGAAACTCACAATAGGCATGTGTGATGCATGCCCAAGATCCCGAGAGGAGACTGGAGAAGGAACTGCGATGTAGGCATCCACCGTGGGAGGTAATTTTTTGCTTTCTGTCTCTCTGGAGAGTGCACACACCCTATAGCAAAAAATCTCTCTCTCTAAAAACAAAAACAAAAACAAAACCATAGATCATAGTCCTTACCTTTTTTGTTTTTTAGATTCTTGCCACAGGGCATGTGTGCTCATTGGAAATAGAGAAATAGAGAGAAAGGGGAAGTGAGAAATCACTCCCTCCTGGGAGGAATGGTCATGCCTCAATCTCTTTTCCTTCATTCTCCTTTTAGGATTTTGGGCTTGCACACACATGGACCTGGCATGGTTTTCAAGCCGTTGGGTCTGGGACTCCAACCATGCAGTTGGCCATGTGGAATCCAATGTCTTAACCATCATGTCACCTGCTAGCCCAGTCCTTACCCTTTGTTTTTATAGAATTATTTTATTTAACTTTATTCAGCATTATTATTATTTTTTTTAAAGAGAGATTTTTGCTATAGGGAGCATGTGCTCGTCAGAGACAAAGAGACAGAAAGCAAGAAATCACCCCCCAGTGGAGATGGCCATGCTGCAATTCCTTCTTTTCCATTTTCCTTTCAGGATCTTACACACGCACACTCATGCAGCTGGCATGAGTTTTAAGCCACCAGGTCTGGGAATCGAACTGCAGTCGACTATGTGGGAGTCCAGTGATGTGACCATTATACCATCTGCTGGTCTCACGATCATTATTTACAAATTTGACCAAAGAGAGAGAAGAAGGGAAAGTGAGAAAGCAAGCCACCAGGTCCAGGACTGGAATGGCGAATAGCCATGTGGTCAGCTATGGTCAGCCTTACCTTTTTTTTTTATTTAAAGTCTTCATTAATCTATTGGAGATTTTGTATCCTCCTTATAGAAAATTGCACATTTTTACAAAATGAAAGAGTGACATAAAATTTCAGAAACTCATGGCTTTCCTAAAGCCCCAAAGATTCTAGAGGTCAGTCTGTCAACCCACTAGTGGTCTATGAGCCAAGAATCTTTTATTCAGTCCTAGTCATGATGGTGCAGATGGCAGAGTGCTGTTGTGTAATACTGGGGCCATATGTGAGGCCTGGGGTTCATATTCTGGGTCTACCTAAATATGCTGGTCCCCATAATTCTGGCTGGCTGGAAGACTGGGAGGACAAGAATTAAAGTGTAAAGGGCCCCCTGTTGTTTACTTTCTCTTTTTCTCTTGCTAAAGTAATAAACTTTAAAAAGTCTCTTATTCAAAGAGAAGCACAGAGTACTCACATTGTAGAGAGGGATGGTCTTCATCACCTTATATTGTTTAGTGGGATCCATTTTATATAGGTGACGATCAGTGACAAAAATTGCTCGGTCTTCCACCTTACTAAATCTATTCACCTGTAAGAAAACAAACCAATAAGCCATAGTGTCTCATCGAGAAAGAAGTGATCTGTCTGGAAAACATCTAGGGCCGGAGATGGCAGACTGTGGAGACACATTTTTAAACAAATGTGTACCACATATGGCCACTCTGCCAGGCACAAAAGACATCTAGCAAGAGTAAGCAATTTTGAGAAGTGTGGAATTGGGCAACTGAAAATTTTACAATTTAATGGAAAAAAAAAAACAGAACTAAAGGACTAAAAGCATGTAATCCAGAAATCATCAAGAAAGTAAAAAGACAAACCCACAGAACGGGAGAAAATTTTGGCAAATCATATATCTGATAAAGAACTTGTACCTAAACTATTCAAAGAACTAACACAACGATAATTAAAAGACGAGCCTATTTATACAAAGGAATGACATGAAATAACTGGTTGGTTACAAGAAGTTGAAACTAGTACATGGGGGTGAGACAGATAAGAAATTAAGAGGAAAAAAAGATTCACATATCGATATAATAAAGGTAAAACTAGTGGGACCAGCAGATGTTGTAACAGTTATGTCACTGGACTGACTCCCACATGGCTGACCGTGGCTCAAGTCCCTTACCAGCAGCTTCAACCTGATGCTGGACGAGTGTGTGCGTGCGTGTGTGTGTGTGTGTGTGTGTGTGTGTGCCCAAACTCCCGTGGTGTAACTGGAGAAGGGATTGAGGCATGGCCATTCCCCTGGAGGGTGATTTCTCGACTTCTGTCTCTCTTTCTCCAGCAAGCACACTTAACCACAACAAAAATCTCTCTTAAAAAACAAACAAATCCCTCCAAAAAACTAGATAGGGAAATGGGAGGAAATACATATATATGCTTGTGCACACACATGTGCATATGGGTTTCTATAGAGTGCTATTTTATTAAATGGAGGATCATAGGTAAATCTTTTCTAAGAGACAATTAACTATAGGACATTTTGTATATAAGTATGTAGCTACTTGTTAATGAGGATGTTTCAATCTTAGACTTGATAATATTTTAATCACGGTACCTAGCACTGAAATATTTCAAACCACTGCAAAGTCCTTTTCTCAGTGACTAGGAGGAAAAATCAAGCAAGCAACTTCCCCTATTACCCTCAAAAAGAAAAGGAAAACCCTAAATAATCCTCCCTCCCCCAACTATAATAGGAGGCAGAGCTGCGATATAAAATCTCCCCTACCCCTACTCCTAAACTCTTATTTCCAAGATACAAATAAAGAGGTTAAAGATTAATTTGAATACACTGCTATGTTCAGTAGGAGATTGAGATAACTAAATTAGAATAGGCAGGATAGGATATAGCAGGATATATTGTTATAGGAAGGATATAGGAAACAAATTCAGATTTTATTTTCAATTATATTCAATCTTTCTTTTTTTCTTTTTTCTTTTTTTTTTTGGAGAGGTTTTCGCTATAGGGCACATATGCTCGCCAGAAAGACAGAGAAAGACAGAGTCAGAAAATGAGAAATCACCCCCCAGGGGGGATTGCCATGCCACAATCCCTTCTCCTCCATTCTCCTCTCTGGATCTTGGGCACGTAAGCACACGCGCCCAGTGTAAATTTAAGCCACCAGGTCCAGGACTTGAACCACGGTCAACTACATGGGAGTCCAGGGACATAGTCATTACGCTAACTGCTGGTCCCTATATTCAATCTTTTCTCTTTTATTTCATAGTTTTAGAAATCAGTTCTCTCAACATTTTCTTTATAATCAAAGGGTATTTTTCAGTCTCCAACTTGACAAAAAATGGTGTCTATAATGAAGAAGAAAAGTGTATAGGTGAAACAATTACTACGCTTAGTAAATAACTTCACATTGCAAGCTTTTGCTGTAACAGAGGATTGGTGCTTCCAAGACTTGAAACAAGGTGAGAACAGAGCTTCTACCTCAGTATTTTTTAAGTTGTTTTGTACAACCCTAACTATGTGAAACTTTAAGAAAGAAAGGGTTCTCTGGTCAAGTTGGTTTGAGAAACACTACAAACCACAGCTGCCTCTAGGCTATTCACATTCATGACTATGATAAAGGCTATGAGAATTTTTAACTTAAAGAGCATGATTACCCCAGCATTTCCAAAATACATTATAGAATCCTTTTCAACAAATACCTAGCAATATTCAAAAAAACACTGGTTCCGTGAAAGCTATTTTGAATGTGCATGTTTTTTTGTATTAATCTTAGGATATGTAGAAAACATCGAAAATATGAATACAATCTGATAATAAGTGAATGCCATGCTTCTCCTCTTGTGCAATTGTATTGGACAATACAAGTGTGGTGCAAAAGAATACAGCTAAAAAACTTGTTGCAGAATTTCATGAGGTCATTCCAGAGACAAAACACATAGGCCACATGTCCTTCTTATGATCTGCTTACGAGTCTAAAAACAACAAACAAAAACTTAAAAGCAGCAATTGTATTGAAGCTTTGTTTAGAAATACTACATTCTTTTAAATGTAAAAAATGTATTTTCGGGAACCAGCAGTTAGCGTAATGGCTATGTCGCTGGATTCCCATGTAGTCCACCGCGGTTCGTGTCCCGGACCCGGTGGCTTAAAACTCACGCCAGGAGCGTGTGCGTGCGTGCCCAAGATCCCGAGAGGAGAATGGAGGAGAAGGGATTGTGGTGTGACCATCCCCTCTGGGGGGGTGATTTCTCGCTTTCTGTCTCTCTGTCTCTCTCTGTCTGTCTGGCGAGCGCACGCGCCCTATAGTGAAAACCTCTCAAAAAAAAAATGTATTTTCTAAAGAGCACTCATCACAAATCTCTATCTTTTGTTTCAGCAACTCGAATCATCCTTAAAACATGAACTGACTGAGTGGGAGAGACATGAAGAAACAGCATAAAAGCTTTAAGTTGCAGAATTTAGCTATAGCAAAACGGCAAAGGAATAAATTCTATATACATATGTAAATCCCAGATTTACTTAATATAATTATGGCATAGAAACACTATTTTTCTCCCACTTAAATTCATAAAGTAATAGAAACACTGGATTACAGACTCAGATAAGATCTCATCTTGCTTTATTACCCAAAGCTTAAAATCCTCAACCAAAGATAAAAATCCCTACCATCTTGCTTTTCCCTAAACACTTCCAGTGACCTGTTTATAGATTTAGTCAGTACCACAGGGGGCCCCCAATGAAGTTTCCCTGGAGAGTGAGACCAGGAAAAAACACATTAGAGGTGAGAGAAGCTATTTGCAGAAGTCTCCCACCTAAAGGACATTTCATAACTGTGATTAATGGAAAATGCTGTCTCAAAAAGAATCAAAGCATAAAGAAAGAGCTTTACTGAAACTGTATCAAGTTTACCTTGGTATATCCTTGGGGCTGAAAGATTTCTAAAGAAGACATTATTTAAGCTACAGTGTGAAAACGGGGCTGGCTTTTTTTTTTTTCCTTTCTTTTCTTCTTCTTCTTCTTCTTTTTTTTTTTTTTCCCCATTGAACTTAGAGATATAGGAACATGAATAAGAATTTTTCAGTTTTTATCCAGCAGGATTCAGACATAAAATTGTCAGACATAAAATTGTCATTGCTGGAAACACATAGACACTGAACTTTTCTGTATGGATGAGGTAATTCTTTTTTTTTTTTTTTGAGAGGTTTTTTTCTATAGGGCGCGTGCGCTTGCCAGACAGACAGAGAGAGACAGAGACAGAAAGCAAGAAATCACCCCCCAGGGGGGATGGTCACACCGCAATCCCTTCTCCTCCATTCTCCTCTCGGGATCTTGGGCACGCACGCACGCACATGCGCCCGGCGTGAGTTTTAAGCCACCAGGTCCAGGATGCGAACCGTGGTTGACTACGTGGGAGTCCAGCGTCATAGTCATTACGCTAACTGCTGGTTCCCTGGATGAGGTAATTCGTAAAACCATTCAACTCTTTGTTTTTCCTAAGATGGGGTCTCATTGCATCATGATCCTCCTGACTTAGCCTCTCAAATAGCAGGGACCAGGTGTGCACCAGCACATCTGCCCTTTTGGATAGGGTCTTGCTATCTTGCCCAGGCCAGTCTTGAGTTTGCTATCCTGCTTCATCAGCCTCCCTGGGTTTCTGAATTCCACTACACCTGGCCTTTAGGTGGGTCAGGAAACTGAACCTGGGCCCCCAATGGGGTCTACCCTTTGCCTTTTCCTCCTAGTCACACCCTAACCTCCATGGAGAGAATAGTGGCTGGAGAATAACTTAATTGCCAATAGCCAATGATTCAATCCATCCTGCCTATGTAATGGAACCTATATAAACCATAATCTGTGGGGTTAGGAGAGCTTCTGGATTGGTAAAGTAAATGCATGGGCTAAGAGGCCACAGTATTTGCCTTTTTCCCCCCTATTCTTTTTTTTTATAGTTATTTATTTAATTTTATTTATTCATTCATTTATTTTATTTTATTATTTCTTTTTTTGGGGGGGTGTTTGCTATAGGGCGTATGTGCTCACCAGAAAGAGAGAGACAGAAAGTGACAAATCACCCCCCAGAGGGGATGACCATGCCGCAATCCCTTCTCCTCCATTCTCCTCTCGGGATCTTGGGCACGCACGCACACGCGCCCGGTGTGAGTTTAAGCCACAGGGTCTGGGACTCGAACTGTGGTCGACTACATGGGAGTCCAGCAACATAACCATTATGCTAACCGCTGGTCCCTTATTCATTTATTTTAATTTGACCAGAGAGAGAGAGGGAAAATGAGAAAGTAAGCCACCAGGTTTGGTATTCGAACTGCAGTTGGCCATGTGCGAGTGTCCAGTGCCTTAACCACCACGCCACCTGCTGGTCAACCCCCATTCTTTTTATTGTCAGAAGGTACATACACTTGTGAGAGAGAGCAAGAGAAAGAACACCTCTCACTGGGTCGTGGTCATGCCATAATCCCCCTACTCCAACAGTCCCTTCTGTCAGGACCCCAGACATGCATGCACACATGCCCGGAGTCCCTCGAGCCACTGGGGCTGGGGCTCAAATTGTG